TTGTAAATATATATATATATTTATATATATATACACACACACACACATATATATTATATAACAATCTAATTATACGTTGAACTAATTATCTATTTTCTACAACATTCAAGGGTTGACAGGGACCTTCTTCACCCCTTGATTCCATCATGCATTGTTTAAGGCATACTTTTAGAAAAGGGCAGTTTAGTCAGCTCTTATTTGGCAACCACTTTTAATGTATCCAGCTAAAATCAAAATAGAAATTTTCAGAGGAATAAACAAAAAATAGGGCATAATGGAAAAGGGGTTTTTGTCCTTTTTTGTTGTCTGTAAGAGAAAACTATGGAAAATGAATCTCTAGGTAGTTGTAGGTTGTTTTTTTTTTTTCTTTTTTTCCCCTCATTGAGTCTTCTGAAATCTCACAGCTTTAAAATACCATGACATTTTAAAGGTGATGGTCCTTCTCTGTTGTTACTTCAACAAAGTGTATCTTCTGAAGCTTAGTTAATGAAAGAAGTTAATAACAACTCTGAAACGGCTTTGCTGTTGGATACTATTCACATACTGCAGCAATCAAATGGTGTCAGTTTGGTTGTGACTGGGTACTTTTTACTCACCTTTTTGAAATAGTTATTAGCAGTTGGAATTAATGATGTGTTTAAACAGACTCTCAACTCTTGCAAGTATATTCCATCGTTTAGTTGACATAGAAAAGCAGCTATGTGGTAATACTTCTGTGTTTTGAGCATTTTGTAAATGTTTTCTTGCAATAATTTTTACAAGCTGCTTCAATTGTGAAGTAGCAGTGCTATCAAAATAGAGTGGAACTGCTTCACGTCAAACGTCTCATAAAAAAAGCAACCGTTTTAAAATTTCATAATAAAATTAAAATACTCTATTTTATATCGAAACAGAGAAGGGAAATATGTTTTAAAAACAAAAATAAAATCATTTTGTGCTTTATCAATATGGAAAACATTTGTAGTATTCTTTTGATTTCTTGAATTAGCATCATTCTTTTCCTCAGATAGTGTGTGTTTATTACCCTTGAGAAATAACTAGGGGAAAAAAATTAAGCCTATTTTTCCCTTTGTGGGTGGCTTTAAAGTTAATGGAAGTTACACTCACTCATATTAGGGAGGAAATGCATGAAAAAGAATATTTCTGTAAACCATCTTGGGTCTTTAATTTAGTATATATAGACTGGGTTTTTAAAACTGTAAATAGTTGGGTTGCATGCCCTATGAGGGAAGATATGTAAAAAAATAATAGCTTACTGTCCCTCATCTCTCTCTTTCATAAACTGATTGTTTTTGTTATAGGGAATGAGGCTATTAAAATTCGTACATGATTTTTCAGCATTGCTCTTCTCCAGAGGGTAAACTGATAGACAAGCTTACAGAAAAAGAAGTGGATTTGATCATTGGTTGGCTTGTTAATGAGAAAAAAATGCTCCACAGTTGTCCAGAGGAAAAATAAGAGTGTCAGAAAGCAGTCCTGTTCAGATTCTCTTTGAAAAGTAGGGCTCCTGTTTCTTACATGTTTCTTTAGTTTTCTTGCTGACTTCTGCTTTTGTTGGCACTGTCAGATTTCTTTCGTGACTGTGTGGCAGTTAAGGACTTTTAGAGATGACTGACATAGCACTCACCTTAAACAGAGATTTCGCTAACCCTCTGACTTATGAACACATGTCATAACTACATATTATGACCTGTGGGTCGCTATTACAATATGTGACATATGGTGAAAACAGACTAGCTGTAAAACATCCTTCAACTTTTGGTGTATTATTATATTGGCTTCCTTATTGCTTGGTGTTGTGTCAGCACTTCTGTGACATTCTTTGTATTATCCATGTTGTAATCACCCCTACCCCCAAATTTGCACTAGGTCACAACTAAAAAAAATACTTGTATGGAAAAGCAATTTTGTGAAGAAGGCATAGGGGCGGCAGGTCAGTATTCCTTTTGTTGATTTTTCATTCCACTATGTATTAATATTGGGAACTTTGGCTGTCTCAGTAAATGTGAATGAAAGTAAACTGAGGATTTGATATGGTATGTGTTCTTATTCTGTAAGCTCTGCTTATTCATTTGTGTTTTGCAGTTTTATGGACTTACCATTGTCTTCTTTTCAGTTTTCTTGATCTATCATTTTTAAGATGAAATAAAACTTTTTTTTATTGGATCTTGTACACCTTCTTATCAAAGCATTTGTATGCATTTTATTGAGGTCCACTGACACTGAGACACTGAATCATTGCTTAGAGCAAAGAAGGCCGTTTAAAAAAATCTAATGATTTACTAGTTTTTTGACTCATAAAAGGAACATACTACATATTCAGATTTTATCCAGCTCACTTATTCGTGATCATTCGTTTCCAAAACAATATTTTTGAAATTCTGAAACTGCTGATGTACTTATGACACATAGACTTTGTTTTCACATTGCCTTTATAACTGCATGTTTTAGATTATTTTTATTTAAAAAAAAAATTATGGAGAGGAATAAATTCTTTTCATTGAAAGCAATAGCTAATATTGTATTTATTTTGTTTAATTCTGAAGGTCCATGGTGTTATAGTTCTTTAAAATACATTTCTTTATGCAGTCAGTAAGACCTAGTAATATGGATTTGTGGATTCATTTTCACCAGTTTTTTCTACTTCTCTGACTACTCGAAATATAATAGTGAAATAAGTTATTTGTGAACATCCCATATAATCCTTCCCGCATAGCCCCACATATTTTGATGATATACTCTAGTATGATACAGCTTTATCTGAATTAGTCTCCTTGAAGGTAGTGGAAAGTATGTCATACATTCTGTTCTCAATAGCATGGTATAAAACAATATACATCACTGACATAGAAACCCAACATGGTTGGTTGGGCCACACAAAAATGGTGCTACTATACTTATTGTCGATAATAATATAGAAAGTTCCTGGCATTGTGTAAAAATCTATTTTGGTTTGAAGCCTCATGGAATCCTCTTAAATCATTTAATTCTTCTCCTGCCTTTCCTCCTGGATGCCAGCAATCAAACTTTCCATGGTATAGTGGTAATGACACTAATTTATTTATTAGAGGCATTTTTGATAAATATGGAAGTGGAACGTTCTTTGCAAAGCCAACATGCAGTGTATAATCTGATTAATATTAAGATTTTAGGCTTATAAAAATATCTGAATGACGTGGGCTTATCATTTGTACTTATCCTTTCCCTTTACAGCCTGGTGGCTGACGTGGTGGTATTCAACTCAGTTTTTAATATGGAGTCATTTCTCACTTCTATCGGAAAATTTATGAAGCTGATTCCTGATCACAGACCCAAGGACCTGGAAAGCATCATCAGACCCAAGTGTCAAGTTATTTACTTTCCCATCAAGTTTCCTGATGTGAGCAGGTCAGTGTGTTTGACTCCGTTTTCAATATTGTGTCAAATTATTCTCCAAATTTATAGATGTTCTTCTTGCCAATTTTAATTTCTCAGCATAAGCATGGTTAATTAGAGAATCAAATTCTATTTCATCATGCTGTGACTTGCAAAGATTTTAAATAATCATTTGTCCAACCTACCACTGAATGGTTCCCGATACTGAGTTCTTCCTTTCTTTTATTTATTTGTTTGCCAAAGCAAGCTGTTTTGGCTTTTAACACTTACTGTTTTGTTTATTTTATTTGTTGCTTTGTTAAAAAAGTCATTGTCAAGCATATTTCTCAACTTTTGCATTCAGCTTACGCTTGTTGGTTTATACGCATTAGCAACTGTTCTAAGTAAATCAGTGATAAATTTCACTGTTTGGAGTACTTTCATTTCTCATGCTATTTTCTATTTGTTTCCTTCTTCCTTTTTGTTATTATTTATGTTATCTTAATAAAGAGTTAGGTCTTCTATGTTGGGTCGAAAATACACTTAATTACCATTTCTCTTTCTCAGTTACTGAGGACATTTTTTATTACCCTTGTTGCTGGGCCCACCCTGAATTAGAAATGGATGATGTGGCTCAAAGGGAACATTCTAGAATTCCTCTTTGCTTTTGATTAAACCTGGCAAAATTGTTTTTACTGCCACCAGGAATATTTCTCCCTTGTGAATAGCAAGTTTACTTCAGTGGGACTCATACTAGCTGGGAATGCTGCTGTTTTGTAACTAACTACGTCCTTTAAAAAAGTTCAGGGACAACTGTTTCTTCCCCATCCTTGAAATGAAGGCAGGAAACAATTTAATGTCCCTACGTGCTGTGTAGGAGGTCACCGTTAGTTTCTGTGTTCTGGACTTATTCATTTCACCCAGATCTTGCTATGGGGACAGTTGTCCTCATCTACACTTCTAATGCTGATTTATTTGACTATCTTACTCAAATATTTCATTGAAGAAAGATCTGCCTAATAGTGAGTCATAAAATTTAAGTGAGACAACCTTGCCCATTCCTCACTTTACAGAGTTCAGAAAGGCCCAGAGAAGCAGAGACTGGCTTGCACTCACGCTGCTGGTTATTGTCACAGACTAAATTAAAAAGTTTAGACTCTATGAATTTTGATTCAATTTTCTGTTTACTGTCACTATAGGTCATTTCTCAGAAACATTTAATGATTTATTTGCAGTTTTGAGAACTATCAGCTAAGTAAAACTAGATAATTGATTTTCAGGTTACATGTATATATAAGATACATTTATATAAAGACAATTTTCTTATGTATGATGAGGGAATTTCAACTTTTGAGAAAATATAGTTGTACTTTAGATCCATGATTAGCTCAAACACAGCCTACACTTTAGTTCACATTTTTAAAATATAAACTTATTTTTGACACGCTTTTAAGTTTTTCATATAATATATAGGGAAAATATACATCTCCAAGGTGAATAAGTGGTTATAGCACATCTTAATTATTACTGCTATAGAATTCCAAAAAAATAATGTTTTAAATTAATTTCCATATGATATATGGCTACAACGTAGTACGTTTAATACACCTGTGGCAATTGAATAGCTTATTAATTTGGACTGTATTACCATAAATACATCTAGCTAAATGGAAGAAGGTTAAGAAATATTGTGGCCAAGATAACATTCATAAGCAAGGTCTTAGCCCAGAGTGTTATTTGAATTATTTTCAAATGGTAATTTGCTTTATCCAACCCAAACTCATACAGTGAAAGTAAGTGATTATTTGCATGAATGACAATCATTCTAATGCCTGCAGTCTTAAAAGAGTATTATTTTGTTGAGATGTTGAAAAACACAAAATAACCAAGGTGATTTAAAAAAAGGCAATTTTTGAATGGTTATATTTTTCTCCCTTAAACAAATCTTATTTGGTCGTGGCAAAAATGAATTTAAGTGAAAACAAAGCAGAAGATACAGTTAAATTATTAATAAAATGTGCTATACTAATATATAACATAATATGATATAACATAATATAATGGAATACTTATTAGGGAAGGGAAAAGCCGTATTTCAGCAAAATATTTGAGGCTTATAAAGTTGATAACTTTTATTTTTTATTTATTTTATTTATTTTAGGCGAGGCAAACCTTGGTTGACCTCACAGATTACAAGGACCTTGTCAGTTTACAATCCCTTATTTTTTATTTCTTGCGCCACAGCACCTGGTCTTCCTAGGTGGTCTCCCATCCAAGTACTAACCAGGCCCGACCCTGCTTAGCTTCTAAGATCAGACAGGATCGGGCTTGTTCAGGGTGGCATGGCCGTGTAAAGTTGATAACTTTTAAAACTCAGAGCGTGTCTATCACACAGGTATTCAGTCCTCCTCACCCCTTCGCTGCCTCATTCTCAAAGACCAGAACAATAGTAGCGAGAAAGAATATTCATTTGAAAATATTTCATTATATATATTAAACATTTTGAGATGGGAAAGCTCTTAAACATCATATGCATTTGAGTCTTGACCACCACTTACTAGCTCTGTGACCCATGTAAGTGTAATGACCTTGAGCTTAGTGTTTTTTAATGGTTATGATTTTATTTACTTTATCACTTCATTGGCATGATGTACTGACTAAATGAATTAATGCATGCTGAATGCCTAACATAGTGCCTGGCACAAAACAGACCCCCAATAAAGGTGAACTCATCTTATTAAAACCCCTGCCCCCATTGTTTTATAACCTTCCACGTTTATTGCCACCTGAATATATAAAGGACTGTCTTCTTCTCTGTCCTCTCTTAATCAACACATGAAAATAGAGAAGAGCTCTGCAAAAGAAGCAGCCTAATCTAAATAAAGAGGTTCATTTATTCACTTTAACACCCTGTTCCAGTCTTTTGGCCTCACCAGAACCTGCCATCCACAGACTGAGCCAATTCCTTACTTTCATTCTTCATGTGCACTAATTTTCTTCCTTCGTTCCCCAGCTTAATTTCTACATTCTATCATCATACTTACTCTCTTGCTTATACTCTCAAATCTTTTGCACTTTTTCCTTCATATTTGATTAGGAGAAAACACTCAGCCATACTTATTAGTCTACTCTAAATTCATGACTCCTAAATTCAGATGGAACCTTTGATTTGCCTGGCAAGCATACCACATTTCCCCTTTTCTAGATAAGTAATCATGCATTTTCCTTTCTTTTTAAACTTCGAATACAAAATCTTCTATCTTCATTCTTGGATCATGGCTGAGAAAAGAGAAGCAATTAGATGAGAATTTTTAAACTCTGCCACCACCACATCTATCTAGTTATGTGCTTCTGGGTGCCTCGTCTCCGTCTTCACACCTGTTGCTGTGGATGAACTGATCTTGCTTCAGTGTAAGGCCTTCCTTATCTCCACTTCTTTGCCAGAGCCCATCCTTCTTCTGTACCTAAGGACTATTGTTTCAGCAGTTTTTCCTTCTGCATTCTGCAAGGTTAGTTTTCCTTTCTTTCGGACATACAAATAAAATGCTAGTTGTTTTATATCTTCAAAATAATTTTCTCTTGATTTCACTTCTCCCTTCTGCCACTGCCTCATTTCTTTCTTTTTCTTAAGAGCAAAACTTCTTGAAAGAATCGTTTATACTTGTTGTTTCCAATTTCTTTCCTCCTATTCTCTCTTAAAGCTACTTCACTGAAACTGTTTTTGTCAAGATTACCGATGACTTCCATGCTTGTACATCCTGTAGTCATTTCTCAGTCCTCATCTTACCATATCAGCAGCATTTGACACACTATGACATATTCTTCAGTTGGCTTCTAGGACATGTAGCTTGTTGTTTCTCAGGCTTGTTGCTGGTTTCTTATCATTACCTGGACCTTTAAATTTGGGCTGGCCTTTGGCACTCTTGATACATAAGGCATTAGTAGAGGAAGAACCCAAGTTTGAAATGAGAAGAAAAGATAAAAGAATCAGGAGGTCAACAATGAGAGAATTATCTAGTGGAACAAAAGAGCATTTTAAGGAAATGGTTAGTTATGAATTTAGAGGAGTGAGATTAAATAAAGTGATGACTAAAATGTATCCTTAAATTTTACAATTAAAGGATACATTTAATTGTAAAATTTGCATTCTATTAACTCAGAAAAGTTTCATATGTTCTTTCCGATAGTCATAAAAACTTAGGATTCAAGTCCTGATATGATATGTCTGTCTGTCTGTCTGTCTGTCTGTCTCTCTCTCTCTCTCTCTCTCTCTCTCACACACACACACACACACACACACACACGTATACACACTCTGCTCCTCGTTTTATGGATAAAGGCACCAAGGCCCAGAGAAGTTAAGTGTCTTCTGGTAATCACACAGCTAGATAAAGAAGAGCAGGAACTGGAACTCATATCTCAAAATCTCCATCTAGTACTCAGCACACCACTTACTGTAAATGCAATTTCAGAGGTCTTGATTATCTGATTTTTCAGCTGACAGCAGATTAGCAGCATCAAATTGGGGGTGCGATAAAGGCAGGCTCACTGACAGCAGTAAGAAGTGACAGCTGACTGACAGCTTGACAACAAGGAAAGAGAAAGATAAACTCTTAAAAATATATATGAGAAGTGAAATAGCATAGCAGCCTGGAGCCATTCTATGGCAGGGCAAGCAACTCTGCACACTGAAGAACCCCTGCAGACATTTCTCCTTGATTGTACAGCTTGTACATCAAAAAGATGACTGTGATTTTATTAAGAGAGAGTAAATGGTAGCCAGTAAATTCTGTTTAAGAATGCAGGGAAACTCATCACCCAGTTTTCATAGAAATTGTAAATGACAGCAAATGAAGGAAACATCATGCCCTACTTGAGGGTGTACATGAGCCATAATCACCTAATGGAAGATAATAAATGTCTAAACCTTTTCTCATGCAGCTGTACTATCTGTAAGCTTAGGTGATCAGGGAACATTTCAATAAGCTATCTTTTTTAGATCTTCCTGATTGGAGCCTTTTCACATACCAAAC